GAGAGGGGCGCGGCTGCGGCCGCTGTGGTGGCGGCGACGGGCGCGGAGGAGAGCGACTTAAGCACCAAGGACAGCGGCGAGCGGGGCGCTGGCCGCACTGCCGCTGCCGGGGTGCTGCCGGGGCCGGGCACCGGGGGCGGAGCCCGGGGCTGCTGCAGAGCCTTCATGTGGCTCTTCCAGGCCATCATTCACATCTTTCAGCTGGCACAGGTCTGGAGGTAGGTCTGAACACTCGCACTGTGATCTGAGAGGACGGGGAAACAAGACACTATCTCTGCCTTTGTGTGTGTGTGTGTGTGTGTGTGTGTGTTGACACGCTTCCCCTAAAGCCCAGCATCACTCCCTGTAACTAAACGGTTTTGAAAGGTAATCATTCAGGGAGGACTGAGCCAAAAATGCCAGAATGTCTTTGTATTGTTTGATGTTTCTCCCCGGATTGAAAAGAGAGACTCCACCCACCACCCCAACCCCCTGACGTGCTTTTAGGTCAGTCATCTCCCGGGACAATCATCAACTCATCCCAACCAATCGCCTTATATATAAAATCAGGCAAGAAGGAGCCTGACTGCTGAGGAAGATGGACGAGGAGTCACAAATGTCATGAGAGCTGCTTCCCATCTGCAGTGATGTGTGTACTCACCTCCCTATGGCTGTTTAGTGTATTTGCAGTTCAAGGTCGAGGCTCTGGCCCTGATGTTTGTAAAATCCTTATTCTCAAATCTCCCCACTGTTTAAAGTCTGTTCCTCTGAGCTGAGCCCAAACATGTTTAATCACCATACATGCTCTGACACTCAAACCAGTGTGCGCCCTGGCATTACTCTCACGTGCATGGTAGTGGGTCTGTAGGTCAGCTACCCAGGCGGAGATGGTGAGGCAGTGCTCAGGCTTAGAGTCGGGTTTGAACTGCGGCCAGCTGGGAGGAGGCGTTCAGCTGCACTGTGGGGGGAGGAGGGTTAGACAAAACGTGATGCTAGTCAAAGACGGGCTGTGTTTGATAGACATACTGGAATGTTACAGAAAGAACAACTGTTTATGATGATGAATTAAATCAAATAATATTTAACTGTATAGGCCTACTTAATCCCTGAGTCTTTCTTTGCGGTCTCTCTCTTCCAGCCCCTTTAGCCTGCCCTATGGGTAATATATATTGATCCCTTATTTCCTCCTGGAGACTTCAGTGTGTGTGTGTGTGTGTCCAGGAGCACATTAAAACATTGTGGCAGCACAGAATTACCGGTAATGCCATTAAAGCTCTGTTCATTGCTGCAGCTCTCAGACCAGTGTTTCTGCCCATTAAGGAGATTAATGCTGTGTGTTGCACCCTCAGCTGTTACCTCCGGAATGGGTCGTCATCGATGCACATTTTGTCAGGTGAACCAGGACCAGTTTGGGCTGTTACCAGAATTAAATTTCAGCTGTAATGGAAGTATAATATTAATTTAAAGGTGCTTTTTATGTTTGGTGTTGGTTGAACCATGATCAAAACTCCTGGGGCAGAGAGAAGTGAGGTTCCACGTTTGTGTTGTCCTGTGCACGTCATGTTGCTGTCTGTCTGGTGCCTGTTATCTGAGTATAACAGAGGGGATGCTGGATGCAGTGTTCTGCACACAAGGACATCCCGTTATGTCTGCTTACTTTGATAGTGAAAATGCAAATAGGGAGTGCTCATGAAGAAGACACTGTGTGTGCGAGAGTCTCTTCCTGTGTGGGAAATGTTTTGACAAATGATCATTTATCTCACTGTGTTAGCCCCTGAAGCACACTGTGTTGCAGGAACCAGGAGAAAAAAGGGTTACACAAACTCCCTTGTGGTCCAGAGGGCTTGTTGACATAGGACTCCTCTGACCCTTCTCCCCTAAGGCAGTTACTGAGACATTTATAGCTTCGGTGCTCCATGGCAACCCGCAGTTCTTTGTCAAACACCTCCTGTAGGCGTAATGATAAAGATAATGATTTACACATTGTTTGCTTGCAAAGTACAAGTAGATGTCACATGTCAGCACTTTTGTATGTCTGAGCCATTACAAGGTCATTACAGAGCAACACGG